GCAAGCATCAGGTGCCTGTGGTCTTGTCTTGTGGTTCTGAGTTTGTTATAGTTATATTAATTCCCAATTTATTTTAACCTTGTGCAGTTACACAGTTGTCCTCTTGCCACAGAAGAGGACTAATGGATCCAAGTAATTAGGGGATAACTAACTCTCTGAACTAATAGAGATGATGAGTGTGATCCACTTGCACATGCAGGATCGAAGCATATAAAAAAGACCCTGAACTTACACAGCACTGAAAAGAAAAGCTCCCCTCACTCCCTAGGAGAACACACACTTCCCAGCAACAAAACCAGGTTGCTGGCTCCTCACCACAGCAATGCATAGTTGAGCATCGCATCAGAGATACTTCGTGCATAGCAGCTTTAACTGTACTACTATGGGAATTAGCACTGAGTAATTTGGTGCAGAAGTGGTATGAACATTGTAACCAAACTGATGATGGTTTATTGCTGTATTTGGATGAGACTATTGAAGCATTAATTAGACTTACTATAATTCTTTTGGATCCCTTGCATTCATATCAAAGCTGTTTTCCTTAGGTTGGCCGTAAGGAAATCGTGTACTCACAAGACAACAGTGCTGTGGGTACCAGTGAGAATGAGTGTCTCGACACACAGCCATGGGGTAAGAACTGCTGCTTTGAGCTCCCTGCTGAGGTTCTTTTTCTGTGGGTGTTGGCAGACTACACTACAAACACCCAATAATGTGCTTCATGGCAGTGTTTGCTGACAGCTGCTTGTGATACAGGGAAAAGACTTCTGTGTTAGGTACTGAGGTAAAACCTCACACAGTCATGGACATGAACACAAAAAAGTAACTCAAGGCTCAGGGTTTCTAAGCATGCAAAAAAAAAAGTGAGAAGAAAAGAATAGAAAATTTTCCAGGGTTTCTTCTTGTATAGTTAAAACCAGCCAAGGTACACACTTTGATCATGCTCACCAATCTTCTGGCAAAGAGAAAGGACAGGGTGACACTTACCCGCTGAGCACTCCCAGCACCAGGTTGAGAACAAAGAAGGAGCCAAGCAAGATAAGGCTGACAAAGTAGATCCAGGGCCATTCATTCCCAATGGCATCATTCACCTGGCAAGGAGAGGCAGACAAAGCATTCTGAACACACACTCTGCTGTCTGTTTCCCCTTAGGGCCCCGTCAACAGGCTCTGGGAGCTTAGCACCCTCTAAAGTGAGTGCTTGGGATGGTAGCAGATAAACCTGACTCTGAGTCCTGGCTTCTTATGACTGCATCTGTTTTTAGTTGAGGTAAAGCCAGACCCATGCATTTTGGGAGCAGGTTTAAACAACACCCCCATGCCTAAGCCTCAGCAAGACAATCTCCCAAGGACTGCAAAACATGGGGTTTTGCTAAAGAAGCATCCACCAGCCAGCTATTGCTGTGCCTGGCCTGTAGACCTTCACTAGCTGGAGCACCCTCCTGTCTCTCTGGAGAGCAAGGACATCTTGGGCAGTGCCTGCAGAGATGCAGAAGACATGCCTGGTGCCTTATGGGATGTGCATCGCAGTATGAAGCTTGGTGAGGGCAGGATGTCTCTCGCTGGCAGAGAGATGTAGCCCTGCTATTGGGGTCCTGTGTCCTGAAGGGAATTCCCTGCTCTGAGGCAGAACCAGCAGTCACCTCTGCCGATCTGGGCACCAAGCCCAAGCTGCTGGAGCCTACCCAGTAGAGGACTTCGGTCCACCCCTCCATGGTGATGCACTGATAGACAGTCAGCATGGCAAAGCCAAAGTTATCGAAGTGAGTGATGCCATCGTTGGGCCCCGGCCAGCCACTTCGGCACTCAGTGCCATTGATGGTGCAGTGTCGCCCATGGCCAGAGCTGGTGCATGGGGCTGGCTTCTCTGATGCCACCGTGGCAATCACATCTGAGAGGGAAAGCCGTGGTGTTAGCAGCAGGTCAGGCAAAGAGCAGCTCCCAGCACCTCCCAGCCTCCTGCGGAAAATTTCCAAAAGGGGTCCCTTTCACCACCTCCTCACACCATGTGCCATCACCATACTGTGTGCTGTATCAAACATCCTTTGGCCCTGCCACACCCCTAGGCCTGGTGCTGACAAGACCAGGCTTTCTGCTACCCACAGAGCCTCCACAGTCCCCACAGCAGCCACACAGAGACACCTCTGCCATATTTCCGCCCTGCCACAGCCCCACCTGTGCCGAGGTAGTAGCACGTCTTGTGCATCTTGCCCTTGAAGAGCTCTTGCCCAACAATGGCATAGATGATGATCATGAAGAGGACCAGCAGGGCGATGTGGAGCAGGGGCACCATGGCCTTGATGATGGAGTTCAGGACGACCTGAAGGCCTGCACCGAGGGGAAAGGAGAGGAGGTCAACCACGTTTTAAACAACTTCGGGTGCACCTTGCATCCCTGCCAGCCCCTCTGACAAGCAGCCTCTGAAAAGCTCCATGCCAAAGGAAGAGGGGCACAGGTGGGTTGGGACTGAAACCTCTGAAGCAAGAAAGCCTTTCTCTACCCACCATGCAAGCATGTGGAAGACCTTAGCAGAGCCAGGCACTGCTGGAGGCTGCTTCATGCCCTTCCATTTGTTCTGCTGCTCTCATCCTAGCTCTATTCACATGAGTTATGGGAGAAGCAGATACTTGCCCTGAGAAACTAGACTGAGGCCCTGGCCCCTTTCACACTGGCCACCCAAAGGTGCTGACACTGAGCCATGGAGGGAGCTCTCTGTGTGCTGACCTGCACATCCCCAGTGCTGGTAACTGCAGGCTGTTGGGGTGAGCAAGAACCTGTGGTTCCTCCACTCCCACCTTGTGGCTGGGCTTGATTCAGCAGCAACAAGAAACCTGGCCCATGACTCCCCACCCTGGCCAGGCACAGGGGTTCAATCCACCTGCCAGCCCTTCATGCTGGCAGGGCACCCAGCACCCACTTGGCACTCCAGACACGAGGCGCAGGGGTCTCAGCACACGAAATGCTCGCAGGGCCTTCACGTCAAAGCCGCCTTTTCCCCCTGAAGTCCCTCCCTGCTTCGCATTGACCTGCTCCAGGGTCATGGTGAAAAGCCTGAAAGAGGAAGGAAGGAAGGGGAAGAAGCAGAGGGAAGAACAGGGACAAAGAGAAGGGCATGAGGATAAAGACCAAGAAATGTGTGCTAAGCATTCAGAGCTCTTCAGGCGGGAAAGTGAGGGACTGACTCTGCCAGCCGCACTCAGCCTAACCCGGGGAACAGCTCTGGGCTAAGCCCACCTTCTGGGCACACTTGTGGCTGAGCACCTCTCTGCTGGAGGCCACCTTCACAGCTGAGCAGCTGGGGACCCTCCCACTCCCTGGTGCTCAGCGGACCATCTCCCTGTGTGCCAGATCCCTGAGGACCCCATGCCACTCCCATTCTCCAGGACAATGAAAACTAAGAGGTGTTAAGGAGTCAGACAAGAAGATACAGGAGTTAGAGAGGTTCTCAAGGGATACCAGGGCATGGAAAAGGGGCTCATGGGAGAAGGCCATGAACCAAGCCTACAAGTTGCCCCCAAGCCCACTGCAGTTGCTATAAAAATCATTGTAGATAATGGGACATGGACCAGGCCTGGCACAAGCTGAACACCACCAGCTTCCCCTCCCTGCATTACCCTAGAGACACGATAGAAAAGTCGAGCACATTCCAGCCGTTTCGGAGATAGGCATCCGTATGGAAAAGAAACCCGTAAGCAATTATCTTGAGCATCGCTTCAATGGCAAAGAAGATCAGGAAGGCATATTCAATCTTCTCCTGGGGATTGGAAAGGCAAGCAGGACAGGATGCTTTGTCAGAGCAGACTGTAACCTCCACTGGTATGCCCTGCCCCCCCCCCCACCCCCCCCAGCATGCCTCTGGATCAGCCCCTGCTGCCAACCCACCTGTGATCTTCCACACACACCAGGCAGCACTGTGGCTACCCTGAGCAGGAAGGGGTGGCATGCTGAGCTACCACATGCCACTCTGGCCTGCAACATGATCCCCCACATCCCTTCAATGGCACGCTGCCAGGTCCATGTCCCTGGGCTATGGGTACCTGTCCTTACAAACTACAGAATCACAGAATCAGTAAGGTTGCACAAGACCTATAAGATCAT